GAACACTGCGACAGTCTTCCAAAAGGGTGGTCACTCTCGTTTCTGAATCCTTGCTGGGGGTCCCACTCGATATATATTGGCACTGACGTAACCAATCCACTTCCTCACAAGTACCAATCAGTGTGCCTTTTTCTATAATCTGTTTTCGGTCGAAAAGGTTCAGCACACGTACTCCTGAGATGTCAGTGGTCCTGACCAAGGTTCGAGCTACTTTCCATGGAAGGTCATTGTTTACCCTTTCCACAAGTACACAACGGTGAGCTTACCCAGCGTTTCGAGGAAGACTAACCAGAACAATCGTTTCCGATCTCGGCGGAAGAACAATCTTCTTGATGCTGTACACGTTCCCTGGTAACGCACCTTCCATAAAAAGTTCCTCCTGTCCACATTTCAAAACACCTTGCTTAACGTCGATCTCACAACAATTATTCCTCATAAAGTCTAGGCCTAGGATGCAGTCGTCCATTATATCAGCCACGATGACATTATGCAGGTAGATCACGTTGCCTAGCTTCAACTCCATCTCCTTCTCTCCACGGACGGGTATACGCTGACCGGTGGCTGTTACCAAATTAATGCGTTCTCGGTTGTATGCGGAGTCCCCAAGGAACTGACTTATAAGTTGGGAACTAACAACCGTACGAGAGGCTCCAGTGTCTATGGTCAGCTTACACGGCATTCCGTTGATCTCGCCCTTTATGATTAGGCTGTTCCCATCATGGGTTTGTGAGATCGAGATCCTTGGGGCTCTTTTAACATCAGCCAGCACCCGCCCCGCAGTTCTGGCTTTTACTCGTTTCCCTGCCGCTGCTGGGCGGTGCTGTTGGCCGCACTACCCTCCTGAGATCGTTCAATTTCCCTTTCTAGGGTTCGCTTAGGGCAGCTGGATCGAAGATGGCCCTTTTCCCCACAGCCATAGCACCTTGGGCTGTATCCTTTGTTGCGGTCGCGAACTGTAGCTGCTGCAACCTCCCTGACGCGATGGGAACGATGATCCTGCCGCACGGCTTCCACTTCCAGTGCATGGGCCAAGGCGTCCTTAAGCGTCTCGTGGTGCCCGAGCCTCACAGCAGCTCTGACTTCCAGGTCGCGGATGCCGTCGATGAATGTCTGCACCAGGTTCCCTTCAATGAGCGCAGGTACAGACCGGTATGCTTTTCGCACCAGCTTCTCCACTTCTAGAGCCCACTGCTGCAGGTTTTCGTTGATGCGCTGCACACGATCTTTAAGCTGCGCACGAAAGACGTGTTCCAGGTGAGCGTCGCCATATCTCGCCTCCAATGCCTCAAGGAGTTGCTCATAAGTCACTTCCTCACCGAGAGCTTCCAGAACTGTTAAGGCCTGGTCGCGCAGGCCTAGTGTGAGAGCAGTCATGGCCTGGCTTTTATTCCAGCCGTTCGCCTTCATAACAGCCTCGAACTGGATTTTGTAGGCTGACCAGGAGGAAGTCCCGTCGAATGGTGGCACCTTGAACCCACGTAGCGAAGGTGTTGTAGCTACTACGGGAGCTGTAGCTCCATCTCCAAGTTTGAGTTCGTCAAGTGATTTCCTCATGTCAGCCATTACGTTGTCAACCCGATTGTTCACTTGGTCAATTCGGGTTTCATGTTCTTCGATTCGTGTTTCAGCTTCCGACAGGCGGTTGTCATGTTGAGCAACCCTATCCTTCACCTCCCTTATCTCTTTCCCAAAGGTAGCGTGAAGGTCCTTCATGAGGAGCATCTGCTCTTCCGACCGACGAGCCTGTTCCGCCTGCTGATCTTCCAACCGACGGGCCTGTTCCTCCTGTCGGCGGAGCTGTTCCTCTTGTCCGCTCTGCAGCTGCTCTTTTAACTGACGGACCTGTTCCTCCTGTCGGCGAGCCTGCTCTGCCTGTCCGCCCCGCAGCTGCTCTTCCAACCGACGGACCTGTTCCTCCTGTCGGCGAGCCTGTTCCTGCAGCATCACCATCAGGGCGCCTAAATCAGGTGCTGCAGATGCAGGAGCTACTGACGAACCGGCCTCCGTTGCCGGCGGCTGGCCCTCCGACGTCTGCGGCGTTGCACCACCAAATCTTCTCTGGTCCGTCTCATGCTGGCGTTGACTGCGGGTACGAACACCCTCCGTTTCCTCCTTAGGTAAAATCGGCATGATTTTATCCCACTTCTGACACCAATTGTTACGAGCTTGAGGTTCGTGACAATAAAAATTGCCGATAAAATTACCTAAATTAACACTTTAATTTACTTTACGCAAATTAAAACTAAAAACACTAATAATTAAACACACTAATTCACTTAATTCCGCTCCGAAGCTTCGCTTGTGTCGCTGAGTTCAACTCTACCACGATCGCATCTTGCAGCACCTATTTATTTAAATTAGCAAAGAAATATCCAGAATGTTCAAGTAAACACGCGCAAGGTACCGAGCGTTCGAGTTTCGACTAGGCGCTGTCGGTTGAAACATTTGTGATGTCATTTTCTCAATGCTCCCCTCGCTCTCGTTCCTGACACTAGATGGCGCTAGTTGACTTATTCACGCAACAATATAATATATATAAAATACTATTTCTCCAGAATAATAGCAACGAATAAATATTGTTTTTTATAATAAAAGGATTTATGTGTGTTTGTGACAGAATATTAAAGTGTTTACTTATAGAGTGTAATGTTCTACTACTAAGCGGTAGGCACATCATTTTGCGGGCATGTTGGCGGTATTGTAAAATAAAATTGTTGCAGATGCAGAACGCCGTACACTCCCCAAAGCTATAATTAGTAGTGGTTGCGTAGTACTTTGCTTATTAGAAACAATGATGAGAGAGGTTGGTTGATGTGCCATTATGTACTCATGGATATTACAGATTCTCATAAGTTCAAAAAAGATATGTGCATAAAAAAAACTTGCCTTTGACTTTACTAGTTTGTTACAGTGAACCGATAAGTTTAAATATTGTGTGTTACAGTACCTGCCATTTAATCGACAAACCAATATAAAGTTGTAGTGCACTATGCGTAAGGGAATAGGTGCAAATGCAAAAGTACAAAATATAACAATAATTAGCTTGAGCACAGAGTAGACTAACTTCAGAGAAAATATGGACCACAACGTTTCTTCATTTAACATAGTATTGTGGAAAACAATTAAATTGTCTATTTTTATATTATTACGGTTGTGATAAAGATTAGTAAAGGTAAACAAACAATAGACACCAAAAACAATAAGAAAAAATAATAAAATTATAAAAACGACATCAGCTATTGTTTGGTGATAATTTTCTTGAGATCCTCCTCGTCGAATATTTGCAGACCAGGAGATGTATCGTTTCGTCGCACAAAAATTCTTCCATTTTTTGTCCAGACGAACTGGTACAGACTCGATTTAGCAAAATCTTTGCACTTTTTTAGGAGCTGCTTATTGTGAGAGGTTAAGTATTCATTGATAAAAATTGGTCTGCTTTCACCTGCTAGCCCAATGTCCTTAGTGGTTAGACGATTTTTACGGGATAGAGATATTAGGTTATTTTTCAGGAGCCTTGATTTCATTTTGGCAATAATCACCCTGGATCGACCTGGCAGTTTTACTTTTGGGGATACTCTGTTAACCTGCAGAATGTCATTTGTATCGATTTTAATTCTGACGTGTTTACATATTCTCAAGATGGTATCATTCAAGTCCTCGTTGATTGATTCTGGTATGCCGACAATTTCAACATTTAGCATTCGGTCACGTTGCTCGTTAATGTTCATTTGTCGATTTAATTGTTGATTTTGTAGTTTAAGATTATTAATTTCCGATTTGAGGTTGTCGGTTTTCTTTGTGAGCTCAAATAGGACTTCAAACTTTTTAGTGGTTTCATCATGCCAGTCAGAGTTAAACTGCACTGATTTTTGGAGTGTGATTATTTCTTTTTGCATTTCGGATTGTTGTGCACTCAGCACTGCGACACATGATTTTACTTCTGTATATTCCTTCCGAACATTTTTAATCTCTGTCTTCAGTTCCAGAGACTCTTCTTTTAATATAATAAGATCTTTCTTAATAATATATTTATTTGTGATAGATTTTTATCTATCACTGTTTTCCAGCTATCCATTTTTTTTAATATGGTGTCCGTAAATGCTTGAAACGATTCTGTGATATCATGATCGTTTTTTCGCTTTCTTACACCTATGCTCGATAAATCTGGATTAGAATCGTGACGCTTATTAGAAGGTGAGCGTTGCATTTTGCGGAAGGATTTCTCTGAACTCCAGCTACTCTGTGTTATGCAAGTAAGATACAATAATAACCGGAGTGTAATTTCACTGCACTGTGAAGGTCACACGCTTACTCAACACGGCACGTAACCACTGACACTAGCAATGCAAAATTAACTCTATTGTAGTTGCAATAATTACGATTTTAGAATGACACTATTTATTGAGAATGATTTAATTTTAACTAAGCGGTACGACACATCTGTATGCGTCGAGACTCTTTACCTGTGTAAAAAATAATTAAAAATACTTCGACGCTGCTCCGGCAGCAAAAATCGCGTGGGAGTGCATAAGATAAACCCCCTTGACCCCCCCCCCCACAGTGACAGAATCCTCAAATTCAGGCGACCTAATTGTAAACCCAACCCCAGATTTAAGCCCACTGGATTATAAGATATGGCAATATTTGGAGAAGAAAGTCTGCGCTAAACCTCATCAGAATTTGGAATCTCTCCGAGCACCTTTGGCTAAAGCAGCGGCAGAAATAGATATGAGTGAGGTGCATGCTGCAATTGATGATTGGCTGCGTCGATTAAGGGCATTTATTCAAAATAGGGGAGGGCATTTCGAATAATGTAAATAAAACTGTATTCTAAACTAAATTACCTTTCATTTCATATATAAATTCTATATAATTATAAAAAGTGTATCATTAATTTTTAAAAGTTTTTGACAGAACTTATGACTTGCCTAAGTATAGTGGATATATAGCATATACAGCAGGTTTTGTACAATGAACGAAATAAAATGAAAAATGCTTACCTCTAGAAGTTTAATTCTATTAGCAACATCTGCCCATAAAGCTTCAATTATACAATTTCTCACAAAATGCCCATCCCCTTTGACATACTTTTTCTTGTCTGTGCTAATGGAAGTAATATCTTCAGCCATATACCTTACTAAGAGTAACCATACATGGAGTTCTGTGATTGTAAACCATGATGCAAATGTGTCTGGTAGTTGTAACTTCTCAAACCATTCATCATATGCCACTTTGTCTGGCACAGATTCATAGAGAAAATATCCCGTCAGTTTGAGTCGCTGTAAAGAACAAAAAAATTTGCATAGTTAAATTCAATAATTGGTAAAAATTGATATGGGACCACTGTGGAAGTACTCTATCAAAAAATAAGAAATAAAATACTAAATTAGTTAATTATAATTCATAAATATTGTGCTAAAAAAGAAGAGGCAAAATTAACCATTATGTTAACTAAGATTCTTTGTCACTTCAATTTCATAAAAAAAAATCTCTTTGATAGTGCCAATATTGTTCAGATGTGATGATGATGATAGTCTACAACTATTTGTTCTCAGTCTGCTTTCATGCAGAAATCTTTTATTTTATTTTAAAAAAACTAGCTAATTAAAAGATTTACCTTTTTATCAGTCATATAAGGATGTCAGATTGCACACTTATATTTATGTTATGTTTAGTTTAGACATTGGAAGATATTCATTAAAACACTTAGGTAAAATCATTAAAACCAAAATTAGAATTATTAAAAACTCATTTAAATAAATCACCAATGCTGACATCACAATGAACACCCTCACAGGAAAAATCATTTTGTTCAATCTGAAAATCACTACAGTGGACCCCTGGTAATCCGGCCCCTGGCTAATCCACTCCCCTTGTAATCCCACATGTCTTTAACATGTAGGCAGAGAGGTGTCCTTCGTGCATATGTAGACAAACACCATGAATCTAGCTTGATGTGTGTTATCTCAGTTTAAAGTGACTATGGGAGCGGGCATTCATTATTTACTGTTAGGTATTTATTGTGCATCACATGATTTTTTTTTTATTATCTTACATTTCATATAATTTGTTGAATTACAAGGTACTCTATTTCAAAAAGTTCCAGACTACCAGGGACTGGAGCAGTACTCTATAGTCCAACAAATATGATAATCCAACACTGCCTTGCAAAATGTTTGTCGGATTACCGCAGGTCAACTGTACTACACATTTGTATTGTTTTTTCACCTTATGTATAACTGCAAAATATCCAAAGAGCCATAAATATAATTTATAAAAAAAAGATGGAAACCTAATATAATTATACATTATTTGCCAATGCATTTTATTAATAATTTTTGAGGAAAAATGCTCAAAAATGCTGTTGTTCCCACAATCATCATCAAAAGTCTGACTGCCTCATTGTTCTAATGATAGTAAACGTGGTTCTTGATGATGAGACAACTAAGATAGAAATAAATCAAAAGTATAAAAAAACGTAATTATAAAGTTTGAAAAATACTACCCTATTTCTGCACTGACATGCAATGATAGTAAATTTTATTTAAGTTAATATAAGTGACAAAAGAATCAACAACCAAGTAGAACGGAAGTGAGGATTGCTGCAGACAATCAAACGAAATCCATCTTCCAATAAAGGAGTACAGATAAAAGTCACAGCTTCTGTAAATCATAATGCTGGGCACAGCTCTCTTATTACTAATACATTTTATCTCTATATAGTATAAAACAAAGTAGCTTCCCAGTGTCTGTACATTTAAATTGTTAAAACTAAACAATGGATTTTGATGCGGTTTTCATCAATAGATAGAAACATTCAAGAGGACAGTTTTATATTGTGTATAATACATGCATATTATAGTAGAAAAAAGGTGAGAATTTTATAGATTTATTTAGCCGGTAGGAGGCGTTATTACAGAGATCCATAACTCACCCATACAAAGCCGAGGTGGATCACTAGTAAATATTAAATTTAAGAACATGTAATTTTAAAATTTATGATAATATATATAAAAATAAGATTAAAACCATTTTAAGTTTTTTGTGAATAAAACAATTATTCAAAAATTTATTTATTTTTAATTTAAGGTATCTTAATAAAACTAATACTTATAAAATTCTTTATATTACCGTCCTAGATTGATCCATCCAACCCACAGCATTCATGAATTTCTTTACATAACTATCCTCTACCGCTACTGAGCTATATGTTCTTGCATTTAAAATCCTGACACTCTCATTATGTAGTTGTCTTGCATAATTAAACAAAGCAAAAGATCGTTGATAGCACGAAATCTGTAATAATGAACGGATTGATTAATGAGAGTTTGTGTTATATTTGGTAATCTAATTAGTTGCTTATACAGGGTTTTAAATACATACTCTTGGCAAAAATCGGATTGCATACATTTTTTTATAGTAAACATGCGTAAATATTATTTAATGTAATTATATATAGCTGTTATTATAACTTCATTTTTGTCATAGATAAATAATTATGTAGTATAACAAGTTATTTTTTGTCGTAAAATAACTTTAATTCATTTTACGTTCTCTTGTCAAATGTCAATGTCATTTCATTGTCATTTAACTCATTTACATAAATAAATATTTTTTTTATTTAACTGGCTTTACGGCTCTGGGCTCTAGCCCTTCGGAGCCTATAATTTCTTTCAAAATCTTTATTTTTATATATTCTTTCTTCACAATATGCTAATGCGTCACAGACACAACATTGCAAAGTTTTCAGGGAATTTTGACGACAGCTCAACCCAACGGACAGTTGATGATGACAGCCATCCATGTTCATAAGACGCCCAAACGCCCAAAAAGAACTCGAGGTTTATATCAACATCAAAGCACTTGTTTCGTCGTTTTCTCTAATAGTTTACACGCGCAGACACTTAATTCACAAAATCGCATCACTTTTACGAATCAAAATCCACTTAAACCATTATTTAAATGACAAAACAGGAGCGACAATTCGTCTATGGCCAAGTTCCCGCAAAACTCCTAGATAAATAAATGCGTAACATGTACATGGAGGTTAGAGAACAGGAGAACGATCGCTGTAGAAAACAGTGTTCCAGAAACAAAATAAGTGAGGCGCTGAAATCGCTAAGTTTGCTCAATAAAAGTCATTTTCAGTCTATTTTTTCGATCAGATACTAAACCACTTGCACATCCACATACAATAAAACATTTCTCCATTTTTTATGTTTCTTTTTGTCAAAAACTAAAAAATTACAGAGCAAGAAAATTTTCTCACCAATGCCACGAAGAAAATTTGTACATTATTCAACTCACTTCATCTAATTTTCCGTTTTTAAACTGAACCTTAAGTTCTTCGTTTGTACTTAGTTCAGTCAGTTCCTCTTGTATTATGACATTCGTTTCTTCTATGTCACCATACGGATTAATTATCCACAGTGGTATTACCATAGTCAAAATATCCTCAAACCTAGATTCAAAATCTGAATAGAGGGCACTTAAATGTTGAACGTAAGTTGAAACGTCGTCTTCCTGGCAGCTTGTCTGTGACAAATTGGGGAACTGAGGAAATTCGCCCCGTCCAATATTTTGCTTCATTAGTTTAACTCTGGCAAGAAACGCTGATAAGATGGACTTTGTTTTAATCAAATTTAAACTGTCGCCTTGTAATTGGAAATTAACCATATTAAATTTTGTAAACAAATCTGTTAAATAGGCGATGTCTGTTTTCCTCTTCATTAAATTTTCTTTTAAAATTTTATCTTTAGTATCCAGAAATTCTAAAATAGTCTCAAAAAGTGCAAAAAATCTTGTCAAACATAAGCCTTTTGACAGCCAGCGTACTTCAGTGTGAAGGAGTAATTGATTTAAGTGTTCGTCATTTTCTTCACACAATTGCGCAAATAACCGCGTATTCAACGCGTTGCTTCGGATTCGGTTTACTGCATCAATGACTAAATGAAGTGATTCATGCAATCTAACACTCAAATTTTTAGCAACTAAATGTTGTCGATGGATGACGCAATGTATTGCTAACACCCCTGACACATTTTGTTTTAAATAGCTTATAAATCCACGATAACGTCCAACCATGGCAGGTGCTCCATCTGTAGCTACTGATATTATATTTGATAAGGAAATTGCTTTTTCAATGAAGTAATCCTTCAAAACATGAAATATTGATTCACCTTTAGTGTCGGTTATCAAAGTTCTTGCGAAGAGCAGTTCTTCGTAGATTTCTTGATTCATAATAAAACGAACATATGCCAATAATAATGCTGCATTATCAGGTAAAGTTGACTCGTCCAGTTGTATAGAGAAATGGGTCGTTTTACAAATAATTACATAAGAAGCTTTCAATATCAGAACTCATTTCATCAATACGTCTTTCCACAGTATTGTTGCTTAAGGGAATTCTTTTAATGATATCAGATGCAGGTTTGTGTAAAACAGTTTTTAAAACCTCTTCAGCGGCTGGCAATATTAACTTCTCTCCGATAGTATGCGGTTTTCCGGATTTTGCTATAAGTAACGAGATATTGTAAGACGCCCGCAAACCATCATCATTTCTTTGTGACGTCGAAGCAAACATTCTGTCCAGTGTAGGTCTCTTCTGAAGTTTATCTTTGAGTGTTTGAAAGTATTTCAAATCTTTCTCTGTTTTATCAGGGTGGCATCTTCTCAGATGATCTTGTAGTTTAGATGGTTTCATAGCGTCATTGAACAAAACTTTGTTGCATAAAAGGCACATAGGCAATTGTTTGTTCGGCAATGATGGAATGAAGCCAAATTTCAAATAATTGACACTGTACTGTCTACATTTCTTTTTAGATTCGGACATGGCATCTGTCATCTGTGGGCAAAATTAAATTATTTAAATAAGACAGAAAATCCAGCAGCTGTATATTAAAATTATTTTTTGATTTTTCCGAAAACGTTCCATAATTCGAACATCTTCTTGCAACAATTAGTTCGAATTACGGAGATTGCACTGTAATTATAATACCGATTGCTAAAACTTTCAAAAAGAAACTATTGAGGAGTACTCGTGTAATTTTGCATGATTGAATATTAAACTACTAATAATGAAAGTAATTTATCTATCTTTGCTAACTACGAGTACAAAACTAAAATTTAATAAAAAATAATGTACTTCCTTTTCTCCAGCACTCTCAAACAAAATAACACTGACTCACTATAATTTGTGTGATATACTATCTGTTTATATTTTTTAAAATATTTTCTTAGCACTTTCCTTTTCAAGATTCAGGAAATGAATCATTAAAATATTTTACGACTATAAATGACGAATTGAACAAGTCAGTGCAAGGTAGCGAAGTTCTGAGACTGTGACTCTCAGTTTTTTACAAGTTCAAAATGTATTGCGACCACAAAGCGAATACCAACATCCTACAACTTACGCAATTTTATAAACATATATAATAATTTTTTTACTTCATAGGTACTTTTATAAATAATGTATATGTTTTGATATTATAAGATAGTATGATGTAAGTAAACAGGTACTATCAGTGTATGTGTTGAGATCCACTATCGTGGACCCCCATTTTCATTTCATGGACCCCCAAATTTTTTTTCGCTGACGTAGACCCCTTACAGGTTGTCATAGACCCCTAGGGGTCGATATAGACCACTTTGGGAATCACTGATGTAGATACAGTGTTGCCAGACATATTGAATGAACGATCCTATGATGGGTAAATAAAATTCGTATTCCCTAAGGTCATTAAATAAAAATAGTATGTAGTAGTTTTTTTTAAACTTTGTTGTTTTTTTTAATTATACCAAAATTGAGAATTAAAAACACAAAATTATTAGTCTTTAACTCCATATAAAATCTTATTGTTCGTATTAATTAACATTTCTCTTGCTTTCCACTATAGGATATAATATGTATTATATCCCGAAATATAAATTATATCACACGATTGCCCTTCACACTGTGAGGTATATCTTTTAACCAAGGGTTTATCATTGGACGATCTGAAGAGGAAAGTCGGCTTTAGTGTGCCATTCACAGCCTTAATATTGAGCTTATTTCGAATTTTCGTATTAATGGGTTTTACCGAACTGTAACACCGTTCACAATCCGCATTAGACTGAGGAAGGTATAGCAAATCGAGAACAAATGCTATATTCTGTAAGTTATCTAATGAATATAATATTTCTGCCCAAAATTCGTCTGGCGGGAGAGTCAAATCAACTTTAATAAGGGGCATGGGTAATCGTCTCCACTCATCGTCCACATTTTCCATTATATATTCACTTACATTCCGAGGCACAATTTTAATTACAGGAAACAAAGTATTTACTTTGATTTTGTATGATTCTGATAAAGTTTGGTAGAATGGATAGTTTCCAATTTTGATAATACGGGATCAGTCAAGTTATAGCGTTTTTTTATTTCTCGAGCACTTGTTATTAAATCGGCTAAAATTGTATGATGCGTAGGCCTAGTTTCTTACTAGTAGGGAAATAAAATATTAAACCTCTTTTGATGTTTCAAGTTCACGAATTCGCCTTAATTTCAGTTTTTAATATAGTTTTATTCATATTTTATTCTCACCAAAAAATGCAACAATAATGGCGGATAGACGTCGTTTTGCTGTCAACTCTCATGAAGTTATTGATCCATTTATTGATGGCTATTTGAATTCTGAAATATTGTTATCTTTATCACTAAACCAAAATCAAATTGCCAAAAAATCCAACAGACACACTATGAACGTATTCACGAGTTCACAACTACATGACCAAGATCGGAATTGATAAAAATGTAACGCTACCTAGATTATTTCATGACTCAAGCGAAAGGCTTGCACTAAAATTAAAACTAGGCTTTAGGCTTTCGCGGTCTTCGTTGGGATAGAATATTAATAAACGGTCGTTAGAGTAGATCATTTTGACCCGACTTTTAACATAAAATATTTAACTATTTCTTTAGGAAATACATAATATTTTTTTGGATATATAATACGAAAAACAAAAATTACTGCAATAATTTTCTATCTTTCTCTCTCTTATCTGAATCTATTATGGGGAATTTTTTTTTGGTTGTTTAAAGTCGGATTTTACTTTTTATTGAAAGACAATTTTTTACCGTTTTGAATGGACTAAGAAATTTAAAAAGCTTGAATATCGTCTAAATTAGTAGATACATTATCCCCTTTTTATCCAAATTTCTCATTTCACGTCCCTAAAGTATAATAACCTATTTATTTAAAAAAATGTAGCCGGTGACACATGCAAAAAAATGCATTCTTCTCCTCTTTTGAAATCGACTAATAAAAACCGCTGAACATAATATTTTTTTAATAAGGGTGACAATTGAGTACACAGTCCACCTGACGATAAGTGGATGTTGTGGCGCATATATATCTACATCTATCCTCATATTC